CTGCGGTGGTGCGGCCCTTCTCTCAGCAGACAGCTGCCTCACGCCCAGCCCGTGTGCGGAAACCCCTTTGTCGTGGCAGCTAACGAGCAGATTGTATTTCACAGCGCCGTGGCCCCGCGCAGGTACGGCCAGCAGCTTTCATCTCCCTGATAGCTCCCACGGGAAAAAAGCCGCCCTGCAGAGCAGGTCATGGTCTGGTCTCACTGGGCTCTTTGGTGTTTGCAGCTTTTGAACCCTCCATCAGTTTGCACCTGCCAGTAGCTCTCCTGCAGTTTGTGCAGGAACACGGTGGTGGGACGCGGGAGATGACAGGTAAGCACTGAAACACGTGGGAGGGCAAGGGAAGAGCCATGAGGGGGGTCGCATCTAACTTATGGGGAGAGTTATCTAAAAACACAGCAAAATCTATTTTAAAGACCTCCATTGTGTTTAACAGCCTGGGGTTTATTCCTCAAACTCCTTCCCTGGCTTTAATCCCGCTCCTAACTGCACGCCTGCTCCAGCCACACCAGGGCCACTGTCCCCACTGTGCTGGGAGAGCTGGTCTGCACCCGTCCAGCCAGGAGACACTCGGGGGGGCCCCGAGGCCCTGGGGAGGGGTGGGGATGTGGCTTGGCCAGGGGAAACTGGCTCTTGAGAAGAAATCCATCAAGTCCTTGCCACAGGCTGAGATTCATCTCAAACCAAGTTCAAAGCCCCCCAGGCTCCCCACAGTCTGGGGCCCCGGAGCTGGTAGGTTCGCTTGTCGGAGGGGTTTATGCAGGAGCAGACCAGAGTGCTCCAGGAGATCCCTGGAGCAGCAGGGGACTGTGCTCTCCTGCTCACTGGTTTGCTCTCCGGAGCCACCGACTAGGCATGCTGGGGGACTCAGCAGAGCCCTCATGTTGCAGACACCTCCCGTATCCTCCCCTGAGTCTTGGGGATGCTGCTACGGGAATGGTGTTTTCACCAGCTGAGTAGGCAGAGCCAGCCGAGACACGGCTCCCTCAGCCTCTGCAGCCACCCCTGAGACCCAGCGCGGTGTCAAAGGCAGGTTTGCAGCAGCAGGGTTGTGCACCTCTTCGACGCAGACCCCCAGCCTGCTGGCAGTGTCTCCTGGGTCATGGACCCATAAACCCCTTCCAGGAGAGATGCAGAGCACCCACCCACTCTGCATGGCTCTCCACTTACAAGGCCGGGTATTTACTTGCCACCCCTAAAAAGATGAAAAGGAAACCTGTTACTTTTAACAGGGTTTTTCATATGGTTTCTTTATCAGCACCATGTGTGCTGGGAGTCCCCTGTTGCCCAGGTGTTTTCGAAGAACAAGGGATGTTGCGGGGTGCTGGTGAGAACCGCTGCTCCCTGTGAAGCCGGGAATGCACTTCAAATGCCCTTCACCTCGGTTTTTAGAGATCTGAAGTGGGGTGCTGAGGTTGCAGCTCACCACTGCCGGTCCGCCCGCCTGCCCCATGCCATGCCTGGCCCTGCCACACGCCACCCTCCGACTCCGCAGCCCACGCTGACACCCCTTGGTGGCACCAGTCTCCCCCCGTGCTGCCAGCCCTGGGCACCAGATGAAGTCTCAGCTACAGAGGCAACGCTCTCCCATCTGCCTCCAACATGTTGCGTTTGACATGAACTAATGTCTCCTATTAATCCTGCAAGAAACACATCTGGAAAATTTCATTTTCAAACAGAGTTCGAACACGCCACAAGGAGAGAAACCTCCCCACAAACGAGCGGGGAGCAGCCAGCGCCAGCGCGATGCCCCCAGGCAGACCTACCGGCAAGGGGTTGAAGTTCTGGTCCACCAGGTGGTTGTGGCCGTGGTCGAGGAAGGAGTGCCGTACCACCACGTCGATGCCCTGGCTAGCCAGCAAGCCCAGCGTGTTCAGCCACCTGGGGATGGAGGGAGCAGAGTCAGGTCACGGCGGAGGGACCCCCCGGCCCCGGCGGCACAGCCATGCTCCGGCACACGGCACTGCCTTTGTGCACCTGACCTGGCGCCTACTCCCAGCCCCTGAGCTGAAGCCTTCAGGTGCCCCAGCTGCGCCCATCTTGCATGTCCCGACACCGTGCCTGAGCCCCTGTGTACACCCCAGCGTTGCAGCCCTACGCCCAAAGCCTGGGGTGCCCCCCCAGCCTGCCAGCACCCTGCACCCACCATCTGAGCCGTGGGGACCGGAGCACTGCAGCAGCCTGTCTCCTCACACCCCCCAGGCAAAGTCTTCACCCCCCACAGCCTGCCATAGCCCAGATCCAGGGATGTCCCTGCTCCTCCCTGCACAGCCCAGATAATCTTCCTTCATCCTTCATGATCGCAGCCAGCTCTGACGATGTGAACTGCGGCTTCGCAGCAGGATGCCCGTGCCACAGGGCTGTGCCAGTACACAAGCCCCAGGAGCCAGGAATGGTTGTGGCTTTGAAGAAGGAGAGAAAATGGTTTCCAGAGCAGAGTCCTGCCGAGCACTTCCAGCGACTGAATGCACGCAAGGACGCGTGTCTGTAGCCTGAACCAAAAACGCAGAGCGGAAAGCGGCCTGGGCAATCCTGAACTGCCAAGTGAGGCAAGCCTGTTGGGATGCCAACCCTGGGTCCTGGAGCTGGTGTGCCTGGATCACACCTCCTTTCCATGCCTGTGCCCTGTGGGCACACCATGGGTACCCACTGGGATCCCAAGCGGTCTGCGCCTTGCTCTACTTCTCTGGGTATACCTGAGACTGGGTCACCTACAGGAAAGCAGAGCTCAGGAGGGGCAATAGGGATGCTGCGGAGAAAATAACAGTGCCCAGGCTGCTGGGGAATACCGAGGGGGAGTACAGGTGGGGTCTCAGGGCACAGAGCTGGCCCTCTCCCGGCTGCAGCAGCTTTGCAGCACCTCAGCCCGTGGAGCCCATGGGGGTGGCAGTGCCCTGGTGCCAGCGAGCCGGCGTGACTCACAGGAACCCGGCCGCATAGGAATCGGAGAGGTTGTTCATGCCTCCAGCTGCGGTCACGCCAACACCTTCCAGCCAGATCTTCTTCCCTGGTGTGTACGTGTTCACTACCTGTGCGGGAGACAAAAGCAACCAAAATGACTGCCATGAACCTGTGATTTAAAGCCAAGGCAGACACCTCCTGTGCTACACCCTGGGAAGGCTTTGGTAACAGTGCTGGTGGGCGGTCAGAGCTTGCCTGGCCCTGGCATGGTCACTCGGTGTTCTCACCGTGGCTAGGTGGTGGGAGACTCTTCCTCACTCTCACCTGCCACTGCCACACATACACTACCCATCTCCAGAGCTACTCTGAACATGCCATCCCAAACGTGCTCTCATACTCTGAAACCTGGACCCTGCTCTTTCCTCGTGATCTCCCCACGCGCTGTGTCCCACAGGCTGCCCTGCCATGTCACCTCAGCTCTCCATGTCCCCATGCAAGGTGGCTGCCAGCCCCAAGGAGCACCCGAGACCCAATGGCTCTGTGGCATGGGAGCACTGGGACACTCACTGAAGCCACGTGGAGGAACGGCGGGCACTCAAGAAGAAAGAGGTGAATGCCCCTGGGGTACAGGTAGACCCAGCTCCATGGCTGAGCAGGGGCTGCTTCACCACCTGAGGGGTCCCTGGCACAGGCGGGACATGCAGGTCCAAGCATGCTGGCCTCCCCCTTACAAGGCTCCAGCCAGCAGCGCAGACACCCGTGAGATGCCAGGTGGGATTGGAGGGCTTGGATGGCCGGAGCTGCTCTCTCCCAGCAAGAGCAATCTCCAGCACCACACAACACCCCATCCTCTCTCTCGCAATCCCACTTCTCCAGGCCAGGCGACGAGCTCCCGCAACCAGATGTCTGCAAACTCAGCTGCCCGAGGAGCGCTCCGTGCAGCCTGATGGATCCTGCCCCGTTAGTGAGGAGCGCTGGAATGCACTGGATGGACTGGGATCCCTCAAAGATGTTAAATACGCCAGCTCTGGGCTGCCTCCCACTCACAGCCTGTGAGAGTCGACATCGCTGACTGAAGCCCCAGAGGTGTTGGCATCCTGCCTGTAATTATCTAAGCCCGCCACCTTCCTCCGTCGGAGAGGAAGCAATAAAACAGGGAAGTGGACAAGCCCAGCTGCTCTAATCAGCCCCGGCAGGATGCACGGACTCAAAGCCAAGCTGGAGGCTATTAGCACCCAGCGCTGTGCTTTTGCTCAGCCACTGGCATTCCCGGGAGAGCCCTTCCCCAGCCCTGCCCCGAGTAGACCAAATCCTGCCCTATGGGTGTGAGGGTTCCCCCAGCCCATGCTGAGGGCAGCTCCCTGCTGCCTCTGGTCTGTGAATGGATGGGGTCCCGCTCCCTTCCCAGTAGATTCCTGACCTGCAGCAGAGGTGGAACACGTGCCACCACTTTTGGTGGGGTATTGTACCCCCAGTGGGAGCAGGGTTGGCCTGTGCCTCTCGATTGCCCCCGTGCTGATGCCACCGGCCACCTGCGCCCCCGCCCCCCTGCCATGCCTCTCTGCAGCAGGAGGATCATCCATACGTGTGGATAATTCCCAGCTTGTGCCAGAGGGCTCAGCAAGCGGCTCCTCTCCTTCAGTTTTGCTGTGCTGACCCTCGCATCCCCTTTCCTGTGGCCTCTTTGAATTGTTTACTCATCCTATGGTGCAGGAACTGCAACAGTAAGACATTGTGGTGACCGGTATGGTATGAAAACCTAGACAAGACAGATGAACAGACATCTCCTCTAGTCCCTAAAGCCTTCCCTGCTTACTAGGTGTTCCTTATTTCTTCTAGGACTGATAGCTGAGCGGGCCGGTCATGGCCCTGGCCCCCATATCAGCCAATGCGGGGGGACCCTGAGAAGCCCCCGTCCCCTGCTCAGTTGCTAGAGATGTGAGCTGGGTCCTGCTGACCAGTGGTGAGAGGAGCAGTCACTGCAGGCTGCGCTAGCCAGGCAGAGCCGTGGGTTCTGACACAGCTGGGGTTTATAACACAGTCAAAACATCATCATCAGGGAAAAAAACCCAGCACTGGCTGTGCTCTTGCTGGTTTGGTACCTCCTGGTTGCTCCCTCCTCACCTTTTCCTCGGGAGACAGTTTCAGGAATGGACGGATGGGAGATTGGAAAGAGCTGGCTGCTTTAGAAAGCCTTTGCATGGCACTGTCTGCCCCTGCCCCGTGCATCCAGCCCACGTCCCGGCACACCTGCACAGCCCACACCACGCTGCAGCCCATGGCCACGTCCCTCCCGACCCACCAGGCACCGCGATGCCTGGACTTTCCTCCACCCCCTGGGTGAGGGCTGGAAGCACAGCCCCCCCAGCAGCTGCCCTCCATCCCTGCCCCACGCCCGCTCCCCTGGGAGCGTGCTGGTGCTGAGGCCAGAGCCCCGGCCATGAGCTGTGCCAAGGCCAGGCACCGCGGGCACGGTGCACCCTCGCAGACCCTCTGCACTCATGCACCTTCTGGATTTTCCGGATCTGGTCAGAGAGCGTGTCTAACAGGCGCGTTTTCAGGAAGTCCGTCACTTTGGCCACTCGACCATCAATGTAGTAACTGGAAAGAAAATAAGAAGAGTAGGATCAGACAGCTGGGAGTAGCTCTGGCCCGAACCACTTCCTCCTGCCCTGCTGCTGCCCCACGCCAAGAAGCCTCCTCTGCTCCCGGGGAGTCCCTGCTTGCACCCTGCCCTGGCCCTCTGGCCGTGCCTGTGTCTGGCAGATGCTTTCAGTCTCCACAACAGGGTTGAGGTGGGCGCACCCTGAACGCTGAGCATCCTGCACTGCAGAAACCACAGGAAATCTTGCACTTGCTTAATTATTGCTGGTGAAATCCTGGGAGCAGAATACCAAAGGCTGGGAGCAAAATGCCACCTCCAAAGGCTTTGCTGCACCCTCTGCACTGGTCTCATGGAGACCCCACAGAAAGAGGCCCTCCGACACGATGCCTGTGATAGCAGCGCCTGCGCTCCGTGACCAGGGAGATCTTGGGAGATCTTCTGCTCACCCAGCTCGTCCTGCCTGTACCCGTCCCCTGTCTTAGGGACACGCTGTTTTCAACATGCAGGTAAGCCAGTCAGCCCTGGGCCCAGTACCTATGCTACCGAAAAGATTGCTTTTATGGGACGGCAAAATGGAAGATGCAAACCTAATGGCTCAAATGAAGGGCCCCTTAGTCACAGGAGGACATTATGCAGACACCAGAGAGGAGAAGGATCCCGAGCAGCAAACACCCTCTGAGACACACTGGAAATTGCTGCATTAAACACCCAAGAGGGGACGGGGGAGGCTGCCTGTGCTCCCAGCCATGGGAATAACTGCATCGCTCTGCCCAGGTCGTGGGACACTCTCCATTCAGCGGCTGGTCTGCAGGGGGACTGTACAGAGCCTCTTCTGAGAACCAGAATTGCTCCTGGACATCATGCTGTAATAACAACCCTTCAGGCTGAGCCCTGGTGGTGTTTCTAGGCAAGGATTAGCTACAGTTGGGTGCATGGGCTGAGGACCCAGGCACCAGAGTGAGCCCTGCTCCCTGCTCCCAGCCCCCCTGCCCCACCTGTACCCTCCTTGCTCGCTCCTCCAGCAAAATCCACAGCTGAATCCCCTGCTTAAGAAAAGCTCTGGCTGTCACTTGTGGGGAAAGGCCTGCTCTCACAGAAATCCCTTCTGCCCTGGGAATGCCAGGGAGCCTTTCCCATACAGGCTGGTTCCTGCTCTCCGTGTGCTTGCTTATATAAAACACAGCTATAGGGCTGCCAATCATGATGTGAATCCAAGTGTGGGAGGAAGGCTCTGAACTGTCTCAATACTTTCTCCTGGTTCCAGAACATAAGGTGAAGCAGCCTGTCCTGGAGCGCAACTACCCTGTGGCTGGAGGTGACCCCAGCCAGCTCCTCCCGAGGAAGCGCCTGGGGCTGGCACCTCTGCCCCCACACAAGGAGCAGTGGCAGCCCTCGCACATCTCCCAGAGGCTCTTCCCAGCCTCGCAGGGACACCAGGACGTCCGCTGCAGTATGCACTGACGTATCGCTAGGATGGCCATTTGGCTGATAAATAGGTTTTGCAAGAGAAACTTCCTGAACCTTCTCCTCCTAAATCTGCAGCATGCATCAGACGCTCAATACAGTGAGCCCCAGAGTGCGTCGGAGCCGTGCTGGGGGCACAGAGGTGCACAGGAATTACAGCAGCTCTGGCTGCAGCTGGCAGGGCTCAGCCATTGCCTCCCATCCCTCCCTGGAGCCAGGTCCACTTGGCTTTCATCAGAGTTACACAGACCCTTCTCCCTCTCCACAGACTTCAGTGCAGCCATGGGTGCTGGGACGCATAATGGGCTGAAGACCTGGGGTCTGAAGAAAGGTGGATTCGCCTCTCCAGGGCTGACTTCTCCATAACATGCATCTCATCCGCACCAGCGAGCAGCTGTAGCGGCCGTAATGGGTGCTTCACTTGGGTGCTGGAATGCAGGAGCATCCCCAAAGGATGCTGTGGGCTAACTCAGCCTCAGCCAGAGCACCCGGCACATGTGCAACATGCATGAGTGCTCAGAGAGGATTTTTGTGTCAAGTCACTATGCAGGTAACAGAGTAAGCGCCCTTGGAGCTGTGCAGGGCTGCGGTGAAGGGGCAACAACGCCAGCACTAATTGTCCCAGAACAGAAATGCATTACAGGCTCAACTTGCAAATGCATTAAATTAAAAGAACCTCCTCTGTCAACCCTCCCCCAGGCGTACAGTCCCAGCTGCGTCCCCAGCGAAGCAGGGGATCATGCCAGTCTCACCCCAATTTCACTCCAACATTGTGTAACCCAGTGAAGGAGGGGCCAGGGAAACAGGCATTTCTGTATGTCCATGGTGACTGGAAAGTGCTAAGGGCAGAGATTATCTCCAGGGGCGACTTAGGAAGTGTTCAAAATTGTTCTGATCACTTATACACTATTGAACCACTGGCTGCCGGGAGGAAAGCAGATCTGTAAGCAGCAGGCAGCGGTGGGGTTTACAAAGATTACTTTTTAAGACAAAATTACAAAGCAATGGTCTCTGGGGATGGCAGATGTTTGGATTTTAGCACAGCACTTGAGCTGAACAGAAACAATTTTTTCAGACTGCTGTGGACTAAAAGCCCCATCACCTGGGCCGAAAACTGGCTGAAAGGCCATGAAAAGAATGTTGCATTTACTGGGAAAAGACAGAGGAAGAGAGACCTCAGTCTGTGTATGGCCCCTCCAAAGCAGCAGGCTTTCTGCAGGGTTCAGCTTGTCTGTGCAAGCCAATACTTTCCCAGAGCCCAGAATAAACCCTTCAGAGAGCAAAGGCAGGCTTGCACCTCCTCATCATCTCATGCAAGCACAAGGTGTGCTCTGACCTACAGATCCACTGCCAAGGGAGAGGGACATCTCCCCAGGAGCAGCCTGAGAGGAGGCTCTGCCCTCCCAAGGACCGCACGGAGGGGGCAGCTTGGGAAGGTGCTGCTGCGCTGACCCTGCAGGGAAGAGAAATGCTGTGGGACAGTGCCACAGTCACTGTTTTTAGACACCTTCATTAACAACCCAGAGAAATGGGGACTGGTAGAGGGATGAAAGGCAAACATAAATCTGCTTCAGTATCAGGAAATCTTGTTGGCAGCGGGAAGTGAGGAGGGGAGTACCTTGGCTTTGGGTATTTAAGCAGAGCATGAAGACAATTACAAGCTTGTAAGATGGGCAAGGATCTCTTGCAGATCTGCCTGGGAGGTTCTTGGACACCAACAGGTACTTTTAACCTCCCCAAACTGGGAAAGAGGGAAAATGGCACACGTTGCACAATGATTGTGAGGAAGAGAGAGGCACTGAGGTCTTCGCTGGCACCAGGCTACTGAGGAATGGGTGAGCTGTTTCCAGCTGCAGACTTCGTCATCGAGATTTGGGCACCTCCTTCTGAGAACTTTAACCACCAGTAAAGACAGTACAGAAATCCACAAAATGCAAACAACTGACAGGCCTTTAAAGCAGGAGAAGCGCTCGTTAGGCATGGAGTATTCCCAGGAGCAAAGGCTGCAGCTTTGCTGGTATTTACGATGACTCAGTGCACTTGACTTTAAAAAAAAAAATCAACACCCGAACAGTCGCAACTCTCCAACCTCCAAAAAAGCCAGCCGCAGCTGCAGAGAGCTCCAGTGCTGACAAGAGCCTCCCCAGGCAGCAGCGTGCTGCACAGGCAGCCAGGCTGAGCCAGCCCCGGGGGCCACAGCATCCGCATCCTCCTCTTCTGGTGCCGACGAGGTCTCAGTGCCAAAGCAGACGAAGGGACAGACCCTCACCAGCGTGGGCACGGGTTGCCGGCAGCCACGGTTCTGCAGAGGCAGAGAACACTTAGCTCATGGACAAGCTATTCAGCTCCAACACAGGCTGGCAGATCTTCCAGTGGGCTCTGGGTATGATGCAGCACCAGAATTGGCTCTGAAACCTAGGAGATTTCAGCATGCACACCATGGGCACAGACCATGCCATTTCTCATACCACAGGAGAGAACAGATATGGGCAATTGCACGCAGAGCTGACTCATCGTGTCTCCCAGTTTGATGCCACCATCTCTGTAGACAGACAATCTGCAGGAACATGAGGAGAGCCAGCCAAGGAAAAGAAGGATCTTGCAACCAAATCCTAGATGAGACATACGTCTCAGAGGAAAGGCCATGTACAGCCACTTTAGGTGCCCTATTATGCCACACAAAGCTGAGGCCAGTTCTCCACCTTCCGTTTACATTACCCCATTTCTAAAAACCCCATCTGAATACACCCTAGAAACCCAGGATGTGATCAGTTCACTTTGCAAAGGGAGGTGTGACTGTATCAGTGGCGGCCAAACCAGAGCATGGCGCAGGGGGAGGACTTGGCCAAGGGCTGGGCAGGGATCTGTGCCAGCGTGAGGAAATGCACCACCCCGATTCCCGGCCCCCATCCCTGGCTGGGACTGCAGCATGAGACTCGAGACTCAAAGACAAGAGCTGGGAACAGAACGCCAAAAAAGCTGCTGCCAAAGGGTCTAGTGAGGCAGGGCTGAGTGCAGCTGCCAGCCAGAAATGCGCTTGCTCTTGGGCAGGCTGCAAGGCCAGGATTCATGCAGCTCCCCAGCACCCCGCAGAGAAGGGCAGCGCCAAGCACTTGGGCACACCCGGGGCTGGCCACATATTTCTATTCTGTCACCTCTGGGACTTGCGCTACCTTTAAAATGGTTTTCTGGAAAGATCCACAATCTGCTGTGGGGGACCATGAGCATCATCCCATGCTTAATGAAGGCAGTGCACTGGCTCCTGGGCAGCTGGTTTCATTTACCGCCTCTTTCATTTTAAAGAGAAACCTTTGCCCCTATTATCTGACCTCTTCTTCTGTTGCAGTTAATTACATTAAAGCCCACTTCCCAAAGCTCAGGAATTTCCGGATCTACTTTGTTGCCTGCTGCTACGAGGAGAGCCTGCTAGGAATTAGGGCACCCGCCTGCTGGGGACGCCATGCGGGGCAGACCCCTGCCATCAGCGTGACACCCCGCCGCTACCGCAGCTGAGGAACACAGACACCTCTGC